TTTATATATACAATATATATATTAGATAGGTATATGTAATTTTTAGATATCCCCCTCCCCCCAACCACAACCAAAAGACATAATTTCGATCATAATATACGAGGCGGGTTTCCCACCTTGGCTGTGTGTGTTTGTGTGCGTGTGAATATGTGTGTGTGTGTGTGTGTGTGTGTGTGTGTGTGTGTGTGTGTGTGTTTGTGTGTATGTGTGAGTGTTCTCAAAGTTCAAGACAGACTTGAAAGACATCAAGCTGATATTGATGCATTAAAACTAAAAGAGAGGGAACAAGGAGAAAGTGACTAAAACATCACTCGAGTTAAAAAAATAATAAAAATGATATTTACAAAACAAAATGACTAACAGATTATTATTAATAAGAGAAAAAAAGCAGTAAAAGGGCTACATCTTTTATGCGCAGTTTGTGCTTAGGAATGTAATTTCGCACAGTTACAATTAATAATCCACCTTCACAAAATACAACATTATGTGAAAAAAAACGTGGTCCACTGGGCTCATTGTACGTATATTATTTAGACCTCTGAACTTAACGGAGTGTTAATCCACAGCAATGGAGTCTTTATTATTCACTAGGGCCACAAGAACATGCTTAAGTTCTTTTAGCTTCGGAATAAATGTGCCACTTTGCTCCCAATTCTTTGCGAAATCGAGACAGTAATACATTGTAATTGTAATGTCACCGACTTATACGGAAAAGCCTCTCATTGAAAGATGGCCGTGGATCATGGCTTCATGCTGAGGTGAGAGAGAGAGAGGGGGGGGAGAGAAAGAGAAGAGAGAGAGAGAGAGGGGTAGGGGGAGGGGAGAGAGAGAAAGAGAAAAGAGAGAGAGAGAGAAAGAGGGGGGAAGGAGAGAGAGAGAAAGAGAAGAGAGAGAGAGAGAGAGAGAGAGAGAGAGAGAGAGAGAGAGAGAGAGAGGGAGAGAGAGAGAGAGAGAGAGAGAGAGAGAGAGAGAGAGAGAGAGAGAGAGAGTGTGGCAGTCTGTTTAGACTATAGTTGAAACTGTCTATGACGGTCACCCACTGTCGAGGGGAAAAATGACGTCTTAGTCAAGTGGATGTCTCACCCAGTTTCATAATGGAAAATAAGATGATTTTAAAAAAACGGTAAAGGGAGAAATTGGAAGTGGTCGTTTATACAAGTGATTGTCTTTTACAAGTGGCCGTTCGAGCAGGTTAGAGTGTGTACATTCTCTATACATATTATGTTCTTTCATTCCTGACAAACTGGCGTCTGTGATGTAGCAGTAAAGCGCTTCGATGTCGCTCGCAGGAGACCCGAGTTCGATTACTGATTAGGGAGAACATATTTATCGAATATTTCGGTCTTTCTTTTGGGGTATTGTATTGTATCCCCCGGAGCCTGAGTTGGCCTCGACAGGTGGGGTCGGAAGGCCCCCACCCCCTCGTAAATTATCTAAATTATGCCGAGGGCGGGGGGGAGTAGAAAGACCTACATTAAAAAACTTCAACAATAAACAAACAAACTAACTAACTAACAAACAAACAAACAAACAAACGTGGGGGCTCTCTTGGTCTAGAGGCACGGTGTTCACTTCTCGGTAAAAGGTCGCGGGTTCGTAATTTTCTTCTCGAGAATTTCTCCTTTCACCTCCTTTCCTGCTCTCTAATCATGTTTCTGTCATCTGCTTTCAGCTCTCTAGGCCTCCGCCATCCCATCCCCATCCCTCCCCCATCCCCCTTCTGAGGGCTCTTGATTCTTTCTACGAGTATTTCTAATGCTACTCCTGGCTACTTCTTACTGCTGTCTTTCAGCCATATCCCTGACCTTAGGGTAGGTAACATCGAACGCTTAGCCTTCTCGATAAAATCAAACAAATCTCGGTGGTGACGGGTGCAAGTTTCGCACGCTAAAGATCCCTTGGAGGTCGTAAAATCGATGAGAGTAAGCTTCGGCCGCCACCCGGGCAAAATTCAAATTAATTCCTAACAATCTGAAAATGCTTTATGCGTCCCACACGATGATACTGTTTGATCTAATGCAGTTGCAAGCGCCATAAAACACTTACCAAAACAAAAAACAAAACAAAAACAAAAATATCAAAACAAAACAAAAAACCTCCTGACATGAAAATGTGGTCTGAAAAGGAATTTGAAATTGTAAGTGCAAATGCCTAGACCATAATTCCTCAGAATGGCGGCCCTGTCTTCTAATTAATTATCTAAATAGAATCATACTAAAATGCGTTTTTTACTACTTCGGACAACAAGCTGGGCAAAAGCTATGGTGTTTGCGGACTTTTATACCAGAACATTGAAATTTAATGTTTAAGGAATCGCCCTTTGTTTCCAATTCAGATAGGTAGAACGACAATTAAGTACGGAGTCTCCCACTGTGGATCTTTATTTTAGTAGGATGGTTTTAGTGAAATACAGACATGCAGATTGAACCCCAACACGGCATAAAATGATCTACAACATCAATTGTTGGACCTAGATCTACAACGTTGTCACCTTTAACCTATGTAGATTTTTATCATTCCTCAACCTGTAGAAACAGTAGAGAGTTCGATTTTTTTCCTTGTGTGGGGCAATCAAAGCAAAATAAACTTTCTCTGGGTGGGTCCTCATTACTATAGCTGGGGTTTTTCTTTTACTTTCTAGAATAGTTTTAATAAACTGAGAGGTGATGTGTGACAAGGAAAGAGTGGGAAAGTCAAAGTACAAAGCAATCGGCAGTTGTAGATTGTCAACCTGTTCAAGATGATATGGAAGACAATGACAATATTTTTAGAAGGAAGTGTTATTTTCACGGCATAACGTTTCGCGTTTCTTCTTTATTCGCCCTTGGTTAAGTTTGACGTTATCCTTTCTTACGGGTTTTGTTTCCCTTCCCACTATCCAGCAAATTACTTCCTGCTGTTTTCTTTTCTTAGGTTTTCGTGTTTCCCTTTTTTTTCTTCTTTTTCTGTGTCTGTTGTCTTAGGGTTTTGTAAAATTTTGATCAGATGATCAGAAATCGATTCGTAGATGGTTCTCAAGTTAAAGAAGAGGCTTCAATACAGCTTAATTGTGATGTGGGGATTTTATTACATATTACATGGGCAACGACACCTGTATCCAGTGCGGGTGTCTTTTTGGGGGAGAAGTCCCCTTCCGCGGCAGTGATACAAGACTTTTGTGGCGTCGGTGGCCTAGTCGTTAGGCAACCGGACTCGTAACCGTGAGGTTGTAGGTTCGGGGTTCGAGCCGCGGGCCCGACGTTGTGTCCTTGGGAGAAACACATTACACGAATTTCCCCCACTTCACCCAGGTGGGAATGGATACCCAGCTATAGTATAGAGAGTGAAAGATTTTGTCAGTTTGTTAGTGTTTGAGCGCTTACTGCTTGCTTGCACGGCATGCATCCCGGGAGGTTGAGAATGTGTCTGAGTGTTCTATAGTCTGCTGGGGTGATAATATAGTGTAAAGCGCATAGAGCTTTCTGTCGAGTAGGGACATGCGCTATACAAATGCTATTTATTATTATCTTCTGATGTGAAGGTGAAACCTTTAGACCATTCAGTGTCGTCCAAGTTTAGGGTGTAAATGTCAGTCTTCTAAACAGCTTTAGCTGCTAAGATCTGTGTGACTATTGTCAGATACGCTTGTTGAAATACAAAAACAACTTTGCTTTTGTCCAAAATAAAGTACCTGGACATATGCGTGACACACTGTAGAAAAGGTCTAGATTTTAGCAAATATATGTCATGGGTCGCCTTCAGCCCACGATCTTAGACTGACTTATTTAATTTCTTTAGTTGCAACCTTTTAGTTGTTTATATGTCGCGCTTCGTTCGTTTAAAGCGCATTAAAGCGCACTACTACAATGAGATAACTTTTAGAAGACAAAGTTAAAGATAAGAATAATATATACATGACGTATTATCTTTGATTTTGACCAAAAGGAGCCTTGTTTTGATGAATTAGCAGTAAAGATAGTGACGGCTGAGAAACTGAGAGCGAGCTGTAACGAAAGTGAGACATCAATATCTGTAATCTTATGCGGTTTTTTTTTTCTTTATTTTTCTCTTGAGATGTTTTGCGGGGTTTTGGTTCTTCTTTTCAACTTGTGTAGTAGCCATTATCACACAAATAAATGTCATTTAGTTTGCGTGAAAACTGTGAATAAAGGTCTGCAAAGAAAGATCACACGCTGTTGATCACAAAATCCAATTAGTGAAAGTATAAATTGTATTCTAAGCGATTTGAATTACCGGGATCATGTGCCATATACAGTTTTATACATAAATCACCAGTCCTAAAAGACGGCCATTTTCATAATTTTTGCCTCATAGTATTATATTCATTTACAATGCCTACGTTAAAGCAACAGATCTTATTAAGAATTTTTGTTTCTTCCTTTTATAAATAAGACGCAACTGACAATCGTGCGCTGCAGATGGATATCTTCTGTGAGCAACGTATCTGGCTGTATGTGGGTCTTCGCTTCTATATTATGTCTGTTCATATCTCTCTCCTTCGCTCTATCTCTGTCTCTATGTATATATGCATCTATGTATCTATCTATGTATGTATTTATCTATCTATCTATCTATCTATCTATCTATCTATCTATCTATCTATCTATCTATCTAGCTATCTATCTATCTATCTATCTATCTCTGCTTTTGTGTGTGTCTCACTTCAACACAATTTCTCACACAGAGGGTCAGAGTGAAAGAGAGAGGGAGAGAGAGAAAGAGCGAGAGGGAGAGAGAGAGGGAGAGAGAGAGAGAGAGAGAGAGAGAGAGAGAGAGAGAGAGAGAGAGAGGGGGAGATGGAGGGGGGGGCGGACAGGAGATAGACAGACAGACACAGAGTTGGAGGATGTGAGTGGGTTAGGGGTGGGGAAGGGAGGCAGTCACTGTATCTGTTTCCTCTCTTCCAAGGTAGATAAAACCAGTCATAAAAAGACAATTCTGTCTATTACACCCCTCCCCCTTTTTTTCAAATCCAATTTTTCCTTTTTTCTAAACTTCAGCTATCCAGAATGCATCAATCTGGTCGCTTCAGGGAAAGTAGACGTCAAGTCTGCGATCTCCCACAGGCTGCCCCTGGAACAGGTCAAGGACGGAATGGAGCTGATCCGCAGAGGAGAGTCCACCAAGGTGGTCATTGATTGCTCGTAGCAACTTTCACGATCACAGTGAATCTGGAGGCTGAAAACACAACTGACGACACAATGGGGAAAATCAAGGAGCCAGATCACTTTTGTAATTTTGCGAAATCTTGGTTTGAAAGTTTTGAACGTCTTTATATACATTTTTTTCTGTTCATCTTTACATGGATCCTGCATTTTTTCTCTTTGTCACATTTTGCTGTGTTTAACGACATTGTCCCGAGCCCCTGTGAGGTATAAGTAGCTCACAATAATATTTTAAACTATTCTCTACCGTTTATTCTTTTTGTCCCCACACTCCTCAGTTGTTCCATGTATCACAACCCTGTTTTCATTAAAGGGGGGGGGGAGGAGCTACACATGAAGGCTATCTCGCTTATTAGTGGATCAGTTTTACCAAATTTCAAACATATAACAAGCATAGTCAAGAGTTTAAAATCAGCAATAACATTTGAGGAAAAAAGTTTCATTTCCATGGGTACGGCAGCCATATCGGATTTTACTGACATGTCTTACGTAACGAATACTGCATTTATGAAAATTGATGGCTTTTTTGCATGCATGTTAGCAAACATTGAATCTACAAATCCTTTTTAAATGACCTTTTTGTACAGAAGTATTGCGAAGTTTACAAAAAAATTGTGAAAATCCACACTCAAGTCACAACTAACAAAAATTATGTATTGCACACATTAAAATTTCAAAACACAATTTTTTAGTACATGTAGTCTCCGCCTACACATGAGAGATGTCAAAATCACCACACTCTACAAAGGCAAAGGAGACAAAGGAGATTGCAACAACTACAGAGGTATCTCACTGCTAAGCATCACTGGAAAAGCTTTCGCTGGGATCATCCTTAAGCGACTTCAGAAACTAACAGAAAGAGTCCTACCAGAGAGCCAATGCGGTTTCAGATCAAACCGCTCAACAATGGACATGATCTTTTCTATTCGTCAGCTACAAGAAAAATGCAAATAGCAACAACTGCCATAACATACTGCGTTCGTCGATCTGACAAAAGGCTTTTGATACAGTCAGTAGATCAGGAATGTACATGGTGCTTGGAAAAAATGGCTCTCCCCCAATACTGCTACAGCTCATCATCTCATTCAACGAAGATATGAAGGCCACCATTCAGTTTGACGGTTCAACATCAAACAGTTTCAACATCAATAGCGGAGTAAAGCAAGGTTGTGTCTTAGCACCAACCCTTTTAACTTTTATTTTGCTGTCTTACTGCAACACGCATTCAAAGAGTCACCAGAGGATGTCTTCCTCAACTGGAGAACTGATGGGTCACTATTCATTCTTGCTCTACTCAAGGCCAAGACCAAATCAACAAAACAACACTACGAGACCTTCTCTTCGCCGATGATGATGCTGTTGTTGCTCACAGTGAATCAGCCCTACAAACAATGATGGACCGCCTATCAACAGCATGCAAGTTCTTTAGCTTGGTCATCAGTGTTAAGAAAACAGTCATCCTTACCCAAGAAGATGCAGAGAAGAGCCATATATGGCTGAACGACAAGGAATTTGAGACAGTGGACAAGTTCTGTTACCTGGGATCTACCATCAGCTCTACTACATCACTTAATTATGAGATCAACACCAGGATAGGAAACACAGCAACAACTTTTGAAAGGCTGGCAAAACGAGCCTGGGAAAACAAAAGATTAACCATCAAAACAAAGATCAAGATTTAAGAAGCATGTGTCCCCAGCACACTCCTGTATGGATCTGAAACATGGACCTTGTACAGCAAACAAGAAAAGCACCTCGATATTTTCCATCTCAGATGTTGAAGTGCTGGCACGGGCAAACCCCCAGAGCATGACAACTATCCTGTGTTTAAAAAGATTGAGATGGCTGGGCCATGTCAATAGAATGGACGACAACTGGATTCCAAAGTAACTTTTCTATGGAGAACTTGCCCAGGGAAAGGGACCAAGAAGAAGACCAAAATTGAGGTACAAAGACACCTGCAAAAATAGCTTATCTAAGCTTGGAGTAGATGTTAGCATCTGGGAAGAAATGGCTGACGACAGGAAAACATGGAGGAACATGATAAAGGTAAAAACTATAGTGCTAGAGAGCAGCCTTAGAAACAACCAGGCTGAGAAGCGCCACCGACGAAAGGAAAACAGCGGAAATACAGAGCTTCGATCTACGACACTGACATGCAAGCACTGCGACAGAATTTGCGCTTCAAACATAGGAAGAATTAGCCATGAAAGAAGCTTCGTGAAGACAACCTTGAGACCATCTTAAGCTAAATTGACCGATGAAAAGAGCCATATATAATTAATATGCAGTCTCCACCTAAGACCCCACTGCTTACGATTCTGGTTCGCTTAAGATCCCGCTGTTTTAAGAAAACAGAATTTTTACTATACAAAAGTCACCCCTAAGATCCCGCTCTGATTCACTCTGAAGGTCTACAGTCGGCTAAAATCCCGAATTTCTTATAATTTGCAGAACAAAAACTCGGACGGCCACAGCCGATCAACCAAGAGTGAAAAGTTGAGATCAATAAACTGTAATTCGCGTCAAAGATCAGACACTATCGTGAATGTGGTCGCATATACACGTTGTAAAACTCTATGAAGCGAATCATGTTTGCCCCAGATGGGATCACTGACCGACACGTTTGTTTCCCCCACGCATCGCACTCACGCCTGAGCTCTCCCCCTATACATTGTATTTAATCACTCGCTGGGCAGGTAGGGCCTAGATCTACACGTTCGCTCCAGGCGGGATCACATTGAACTGTGAACTCTTCCCTGACCATTGCAGAAGTTGTCTCTACTCCCGAATTTGCGAGACAGACTGAATTTTAATTGGTGTGGTCACAACGTAATGGTGTGTCACGACAAAGGCGTTGTTAGGGGGGGGGGGGGCTCGGTCAGGGATTGAAAGCTATATATTTTCGACAGGTGAACAAGTAAAGTGGAAGGGCAACTGGATAAGCGTAGATCTTGAGACTCATGATAGGATAATAAGTGAAAATGACACGCCTCATGCCACTATGCACTGTGATAGGTCATAACGGTTAACCACTCTTTGCTCGCTATGTGTCATAAATCCACCCAGGGGTTCCGTCAGTTCATTTTAGAGTGGAGGGAAACCATTTTACCGATTGCTGGCCTTAACATGGGTCACCATGTTTATATTCTTCCCTGCGTTCGGCGGTTCAGATCCCGGTTCACCTAATATCTCGCATTTCTTTGCTCCCGAGCACCGGGATCTTAGACGGAGACTACTGTATTAGACCTACATGTTCTCCTCATTCTGTGAAAATTTCATGAAGATTGGGTGGAAACTAGTGGAATTATTCTAAAAAGTATGAAGAAAAACCACGTTTTTGAGAAAACGTCTGATAAAGAAAAGATTGACTTTATGAGGAAATGGTGGTGATCAACATGCCCGGTATGGGAAGAAATAAGGCTTTGGAGGTTCTAATGCTATGAAATAGTTGTAAGAGAGGATGAAGAAGCTAAATATGCCTATAACTCAAAATCCATAATTTTCAGCCGAATCGGGGCTTTTGTCGTGTACCCCCCCCCCTTTTTTTTTTAAAACGGCCAACGCACTGACATAACGTCTCTTTGTCCTGAAGCAGCGAGCACTGGAGATATTGATTCACTGTCGCTGTCCTTCTGTTACTCCTCATCATCAGCATTTGGATGTCGGGAATCTTTAATTAGAAAGAAAAAATGTTAACTGTTTCTTCGAATTTCCCCTCTTCGTTCCTTGTATCACATAAGCAAGCAAAAATAGCAGATTCCTCCTGTATATTACATACCTATTGTATATTATGAACTTCTATTGACTGCAACTGCAAGTACTTTTACTTTTTATTTAACTTTATTAAAAAAAGGTCACCATGTTTGATGTGACGTCATGAGTGCATATACATTCACTTGGGCGACAGAGTCTTTGGCAACAATGGGCAGGCAACGTGCTTTATCGTTTGCATCTAGAAATCCAATTCACACAAAATTAATAGATATAATACGTAAGAAGAGCCCTTACTTTTCTTGTTATAAATATTGTCATGTTATTACCTTTCGGACAGCTCTAATGATTACTGTGGACCAAGAGCTTTTATAATATCAAGTTTGAAAAAAAAAAATCGAACTAAAGATCATTGAAAAAAAAAAGGTTTTGCTTTGGTGTGTTCTAATAAACATGACATGCTCGCAATGAGTGACCTGAATATAATATTATTAAGTAGTTCCATAAAACTGGAAAACGGCAAGACCCAGGTATTATTTCCTTTCTGAGAGCATAACACATTGGCCTGTTATAAATCTACATAGAATGATAAGCTTATTGCCCCTTCACTATGGACGTGTTCGAGAGTTATGTCCTACGTCATAGAAGAACAAAGCTTTTCCAACGCAATCTGATATTAACATCTATTATCTATTTGGGGTGGCCGAATGTTGCTATTCAAAAGGCTTTTGCATGGCTGCATCGATCGACATGCGGTTTTCGCCAAAAGATTCTTTAAAATATTTCCCAGATCATGACACCCTTCGTTTTTTTCAGTTTGGAGACAGTTTTGCTGCAAAAAGCTAAATTTCTTTATTTCGCTGATTGCTTTTGTAGGCCGATGCTTCTGTCTCTTTAATTTTAGAAAAGGAGATTTCCATTCACTAACTGTGCACACTGTTTTGAGAGTATAGATCTAAACCTTCTAATTTGTGCATCTCTCAAGATTTATTGCTCCATTCCAGTAGGCCCCTAGAATGTAAATTATATCATAGACATAGGCTAAACCAATGACCTTCTGCCGACGTTAATGTACTGATCATTCCTTTCATCGAATGGGGGCCCAGTTAGTCTTACTATAGCGGAGCTAAACCCGTTTGTGAGGTCAGTATACTTTTTTACACAGGTGCCCATAGAATCTACAAAAATAATTATGATTCAGTTAAGAATTGTCACAAAGGGTTACGTGAGCATATTTTCAAAATTCGGAAACTACCTTTTGATTTTTCA